TTTTTTTTGGTTTTTCTCCGGTACCGGGAACTGAACTCACGACCTTGCGCTTGCCAGGCAGGCGCTTTTGCCGCTGAGCTAAACCCCCAGCCCCTTCTGTAGTTGAAATAATGTTTTTGACTAGAGAGTGAGTGAGCATCAGAGTAACCTTCTATTTACTTAGGGTTAGTCAAGAAAGCAGAAACTATATGAATCAACTTATAAGGTGGAATCAAATGTAGGTAATTATTTGCATGCATGTTGGAAGGATAAAAGAACAAAAGGGGTAGTACTCACATAACCCAAAAGCTGCACACAGCAGCTCATGTTCTAATGGCTGAGGGCACAAAGTGTGATGTATTGGGCATACCAGAAGCCAGAAACTCGGATGAGTCTTGATATGCTAGAGTTCATTTGAGAAAGGGACATCACATGGCTGCTGCTTTCTTATGTATGAAGAATGTGATAGTGAGGCTGAGTTCTGGGAGTGTCAAAGGTGACTAGAGGCTGGTGGGGAATTGGTTGCCTGGACAACAACAGGCATACCTGTATCCTTCCTTTTTCTCAGTATCTTTCTACTTCCCCAGGATGGCAAAGGAGAATGTGAGTTTGTAATCTCAGTCCAGGGTCAGTGTTTAGAAAGATAAATTTGGAGATCCTACTCTCTATATATAATTTTAAAGAGAATAAAAAATAAGGAAAAGCATTAAAAATGATATACAATTTCAAAACAAGATGATAAGAAATCAACAATGGTTGTTTACTGCATATTGTTATCTTCAAAGTAGTTTTCAGATTACCAGATATAAGCATGCAAAATTAGTAAAAAAAATTAAGCATTAACTGTTCCTTTCAACAAACCATGACCAAGTGGGTTTCATCCCAGGAATTCATGGATGGTTCTATATACACAAATTAATAAATGTAATGTACCATATCAACATAGCCAAAGACAAAAATCACATGATCATCTCAATAGATGCAGAAAAAGCTTTTGATAAAGTCCAACACTCATTCATTATAAAAAACCCTACAGAAAATCAGAATAGATTGTCTTTACCTCAATCTGATAAAAGCCCTCTATAACAAACCACCAGCCAGTATCATACTAAATGGACAAAAACTGAAAGCTTTTACTTTAAAATCAAGAGATAATAGTTATTAGTGAATGACTTCTATGCCTTCTTTTTATTACTTGCTCATAACAAACATACTATTAATTCATATTCCTTTAAAAGGTTTTTTGGGGCATCTAAAGAAACTTTCTAGTCTCTGTGCTTAAGAAAGACAAATAGGTAGTAACAGAATTATGAAAAGCTGACTTGAAAAGGTGTTTATGAGTAAAATGATTCCCCAGGCAGATTGTATTTTCAATCCCTGATGAATTGAGCTTTTAAAAAATCATACAAAGAAAGAATTAACTTTTTTGAAGAGTTTAAAGAGTTAAACTTGAAGAGTAATTTGTGAGTTTAGGAGCTAAACTCTTTAAGACAACAAATATTACAGAGTTTGCATATATGTAATTAGGCTGTATTGTGCAGTCTTTTCATTTCAGTATAGTAAAAGTGGTGTTACGAAGTATTTCTTTTGAAAAAAAATGTAGGGTCGTTAGATGTGACAATCAGTAGTTAAACTGAATCTCCATATAATAAACATAAATGTTGTATAGCATCTTATGACATGCAGTTTATTCATTCACATATACTGTAGGTGACATATCTCCCTGACCCCCATACTCAAAGTACTTTTCTTGGTTATAGGAAATATTAGTTTGTTGATTATTGATTAGTTTATTAATTATTACTTACTGTTACAGTATTTACAGTATTTTTGGTTGTGCTTCATAATGAAACATCTTGGCTTCTAAATTTGAGTTGCCATTGCTTCTGTTTAAATAAATAGTTTTAATTGGCTAAGCACATTTTAGTGGCTTTAATTTTTTTGTTTTGTTTTGTTTTTTTGTTTTTTTTTGTTTTTTTTTGTTTTTTTTCCGGTACCAGGAACCGAACTCACGACCTTGCGCTTGCCAGGCAGGCGCTTTGCCACTGAGCTAAATCCCCAGCCCCTAGTGGCTTTAATTTTGAATTCTAGAAAATGGCAGTCTGACCTTCAGTATATTTTGAAATTTATAATGTAGGACAGGGAGATATTATTGCACTTTCCTGATATAAAAGGACATTAATTTGTTTAAGACTTTTAAAAACAAAACTTTTAATAAGCTTATCTTATTTTTCTTTTTTAATTTGTAGAATTTAGAAAAGACAGCTGGGTGTGGTAGCGCATACCTGTAATCCCAGCACTTGGGAGGCGGAGACAGGAGGACTGCTGTGAGTTCAAGGCCAGCCTTAACTGCACAAGAGACCCTGTCTCAAAAAAAAAAAAATTTAGAAAAGACTTCAATAAACTTGTTTTACTTTTATTTTTCTTTGTGAATCTTTTTCATTTTTAGTCTCTATTAATTTTATAAACCATTTGGTTTCAGTGAATATACAGTGATCCCTCACCTATCATGGGAGTTATCTTCCATGATAGGCGAAAATCTGTGAAGTAGCTGCATTATGTTTAATTATATATATATTTTATATATATATTTATATAATTATATATTTTTATATATATTTTTAATTATATATATTTTAAGGCTTTATAAATCCTTCCCATACTCCTATAAACCCTTCTCTCTTATTGACATTTCCCACACTCTTATAAACACTTCATATGCTCTTAGACACATTCCATACTCTTAAACCTCCATAATTTTAACAACATGTAAAATCCTATATGGGTACTCCCCAGTGAAGTACAGTATGCTACAACTTGAATGATGAAGATCATGGATTATGTAGCCATGCAATACTGATGGTGATGAAGGTGATGACAATGAGATGAATGTTCTGCACAGCCAAGAAGAGCATTACAGCTCTTCTGAAGTCACCACTTCATCAGGCGCTTCATCCAGTGGTGCAGTATCTTCGCCCTGGGCCATAACTGATCTCTTCTTCTGAGTGATGAACATAGTTATGGGGAGTTTCTGGTGCTGCTTTTTCTTCTGAGTGAGGTTTTTATAAACTGACATGCCTCTCTGGATTGTATTTATGAAGTGCAACGAATGAAGCATCCAGGGGTCCCATTCTTCAGCCACTTGCTGAAATTCTTTGGCCATTCTGACCACAGTTGCAAGACGATTGAGTGTTAGGCCAGCCTCCTCCTCTTCTCCAACCTGTAGTTCATCTTGTTCCTCATCTTCTTCATCACTTGCTGACTCCATCATCTCCATCTGATCTTCGCCTGTCAATGGTTATGAGTGGTCATCGATCAGGTCACCAGGGGCTTTGGCTTCGTCCTTCATAATAAAAGTGCAAGATGGCATCTGTTTCCAAAGTTAGCCCATCTCATCAATGTTAAAAACTTGTTCAGGCTTATAGCCACGTTCCTCGATGATAGATTTGAACATGTCATTCACGTACTCCTTGGCTTTGTTTTTATCCACAGAGGCAGCTTCTCCATGCAGAGAAACACTCTTGAGTCCAAAGCATCTCTGAAATTTGTCAAAACAGCCCTTGCTGGCACTGAATGGGGTTGGTCTAGTGGGAGAAGCACTCAGTGGTCCTGCTTCTGAGTTGTCCTTGTCTTCGTCCTCCTCACCATTGTGAATGTCTGTGCTTTCTGCAAAACTATCATAAAATTACTTGGCCTTTGTCTGGATGGTGTTGGTATCCAGTGAGATATTCTTCTTCCTGCAGTCATTTATCTACAGGCCAATGTAGACTCCATCCTCATAATGGCCTTATTGAGGGAAGTGACCACCCTCCCTGCAATCTTGTTAAAAGTCATGGTTGCTGTACATTTAATATTCTTCTTGTCTTTCTTTATGTAGAGAACAGTAGATTCATTGATCCTGTAATGGCAGCCTACAGCCATGTAGCTTTTGCCTTCCTTTAACATGTTGAGAAATTCCATCTTTTCTTTGATGGTAAGCATCTTCCTCTGGCACTCGGGTTCACTGTGAGAAGCCTTAGAAGGAGCAGAACATTTGGGTGGCACTGTAGGGCTTGAAATAAATTCTAACTTTTATGAAAATTTCACTAAAACACAACACCGCAGAGCAACACTACATGCAGCAATCAGACATCAATGTGAAGTGGACAATGAGAGATGCTAAATGTATAGGCACAGTGCGGGAGAGCAAACAGATCTGTGCTATGGTCACTGAGCCAATCAGCGCCCAGGATGCAG